ATATGGCAAAACAGGACTTGCTGAATAACATTCACAACAAGTCACCGTATTCATGATTCAGCTAGTAAGTAGGACTTTTTTCCTAGTCTCATTTCTAACTTCGCATTTATTATTTAACTTCTACCTCGCGAGTTAAGTCCCTTTTCGTCGTGAACACTTTACACGAAAGATATAAGAAAGATCAAAGATCGAAAATTACTATCTCCTTTTTGAGAATTACTAAAATTAGGCGCGGCGGTTGTTTAAAAGGCGAAAAACCCAAAAAGGGGAATCATGCCATCAGAAGCTAAGTTCAAGCGTTTTAAATGTAAAAAAAATGAATATTCATAACATAAGCATTTTATATATGCATGGATACTGAACTGATATTGATAACTTAAAGTTAAAAAGAAATTACTTGTAGAACAGATTTGTAAATTTTTTAGCCTTAACCTATGCGATGCACCCATTCTCAACTAACACGGTCCATTGAGGGATTTTCTCATGCTAGTACTGATTCACATTTCCAACAAAACGATCTATCGCACTTAATAACTCAGAAATTTGTCTATTCCAAAGTAGATCATAGTTTTCTCTCAGGAATTCGAGTAACATATTTCCTTCTACCTCTTTTGTTTTTGTTTTTGTTTTTTTTTTGTTTTTTGTTTTGTTTTTGTTTTCTTTTTTGTTGTTGTTGTTGTTTTTTGTGTTTTTGTTTCGTTTTGTTTTTTGTTTTTGTTTGTTTTTTTAGTTTTTTTGTGTTTGTTTTCTTTTTTCTGTTCATTATAATTCTGCTCCTACCGTGCTGCTTCGTGGCTTATTTGTTAGAAGGACACAACAGGTATCTGAGAGCGTACAAGCACAGCTCAAGCCGAATTTCTTACAGGTGCCTTCATCGTATGTGGCATCAAACTCAGTTTACCAGCGACAACAAATGCGTCATCATCCACTAGTTAAAATATATTTCAAATCCATTTGTGATCAATTTCAATCGCACAGGGCAACATAACCAACTCATGCCGTAGCACGTTTATTTCCCTCGGACAAAATGTTTAAAGGTTTCTTTTTTTTAATGCTCTTGCTTTGCGAAACATTATTGGGAGGTTCAAGCACTTTCTTTGCTTAGCATTCATCTCAAAGTACATATTTGACCCTTTGGAAATGGCAGGCAAAAGCTTTCATCTAGTCAGCCAAATTTACCAAATTGAAACGGAAGATATTCTTATAAAAGTTTTTCGCCCTAACGAAGGGCTAACGCTCGAAACGTCATCTATAGAAACTCTTTACGGTGGCCAATTTACGTGATCAACCCAGCTGATATAACCAAATTATCTTGTCCTCATTGAAACACAATTGAAGCCTCTAATTTACACCGCCATATCACGCACAAAAAATAGCAGCGCTGCACCACGCTACTAAAGCGATATGTACATCCACCGTTGTTCATTTCCCTTCCAAAAAAGGCAAATTTTATCGCAACTCGAAAATTAAATATCAGAGGAAGGGAAATTACTCAACGATACAACCACGTGACACCCTCATCTCTGATTTAAGTTGATTCCTAACTGAATTATTTGACTGAGAAGCGGCAACAAAGACTTCCCGAAAAATTGTTAATCATCCCAATTGTAGATCAGTTCGTTAACTCAACTCATTTTTGCTGCCCTCCAGGTGTAAAGGTCTTCTCATATCGTTTCACAGTTAGGTCCACATTCTCACCGTTCTCCTTTCCTGGAACGCTGAATTGATTGTGTTCAAAACTAGTTTAATTAATAACATGAAGATTATCCTCCTCATTCAATTTCAACTGAAGTAACGAACAAAAAGGAATTATGTCGCTCAAAGTTTTAACTTACCTAGTCAGTCCATATACTTACAGTCAATATCGATTATTTTACTCTCGTCCCTACGACAGCTCAATTTTAGCTCCACGAATAACAAAAAGCTAGAAAAAAATCACTAAGAGGAAACCGACTTATCTTCTCGACAAATTCTTTAAGAGAAAACCTTTACGAGTACGAATTCAACTTTCTATATTAGCTGAGAATGGGTGGGGCTGAATCTCAACGATTTTGCCATTCTCTCTCTAAAGCAAAGCTGATTATATCAAACAAAAATCCTGATATAGGTACTTATATGTTTAACAAACCAAACTCAGCTCTTTCACCTCAACCTGTAAATTAAGATCTCTGTAGGGTTCAGGTCCCGCCCTCCAAAAGCACAAGGAAAAACTTTCGAAGTAGCAATAGGGTTAAAAAAGCTAAATATGGTTTCTAGCATGTAAAAAAGGAATATAAAGTAAGACAAAATAACAGAAAAAGATTTTGATCGCTATATTAGAGGAAGTCCCCTCATATAAAATGAAGTGATAACCTCTACGTGTGCAAATCTACTCTACTAAAGAAAAAAAAACTTACTACAGACTAGTTAGAATTGACATCATGTGGCTACATCTTGTTCAACTGCCTCATTGCCACTATACTCGTGCTCTATCCCAGCTCGTGTTTCACCGTCTTGAAACTGAAACAAAGTTGGTATTAAAATAATGAGCACACTGTGTTGCTGGTAGAGCTAGAAATTACACACTGCCACAAAACCTAAGCATCTGGTGAAAAAGTGAAATTTCCCTGCTCTACTAAAAGTAAATGAAATGGAAGCTTGAACCATCTTGGAAAATTTAAGTGGTTCTTGTCTAAAATCATACAATCATACCTTTAGTGAATGCAATAAAAATCATCTAGAATCATTCCTTAATAAAGCAAGACTACGTAGCTTGTTGAATCTCAACCCCTTAGCCACATTTCACAACATTTTCCTGGAACATCTGCTACTTTCTTGATGTCTTCGTGTGATTATTCTTTGTTTAATTTCTCTGGAAATACTCGGCCTTTAAATTTTCACCATGAAGAGTCTTGAGGGGCAACACTGGATTTTCTGGGCTGGTAGATACGCACAGGGGTTATCATTTGAGAAATGCTTCGAACAAAATCAGTTTCATTACTAGTAAATCACCTTGATAAGGTTTACGTTCATTGCTCCTATCTTCAAGATCATCTCTCCATCTTCATTCAATAAGTTTCCTTCCACGGTCATTTTGGAGGCGTCACTGACTGGCAAGGTGAAGACGACATTCTCTGCCAGTTTCATATGGTCGACCTTCTTTCTTTCAATCTGGAGAATAATAAATGATCAGTTACGCACTTTGTTGATCTATTACAAATTGACCCGCAGCAATGATCGTTTTCTGAAAGAAATCTGAACCAACGTAAATGCCTCCAAGGCCAATAGATGAGCAGTTTTTTTATCATAGCCCGAGAGAAAGGACTTTGAAGAAGGCTACTGAGATAGCAAAGGATAAATTGTGATTAGACATTGTCATTAAGGTTTCCATTTAAAGATATGGCCATCAACCAATTTATCTAGAGGAACAAGATCTTAACTTAGCAATGAAATAAATTAACCCTGAAAAAAAGTTAAAAAAATATATAATTGGGAGTCATTACCTTTTTGTCAGCGTGAAAGCCCCCCAAGAGCAATTGTGCTATAATGTTTTCCCCTTGTGTCTTCTTCCATCGGAAACTGTTTGAGTATATCTTCATTATGTTTTGGTCACGTTGCTTCTCCTATGAACAGTTCATAATAAATGGAGAGTTGATATGCTGATGCATGTTGTAGTCGCAGGGTATGAGCTTCGATTCATGGAAACTTGCTTAGGGATCGCTTTAACTGCAGCTTAAGACTAATTTATTTCCTAAAAATGATCGATCAAAGAGTTATCTACCTAGAGTAATAACAGGTTTAACTGAATGGCTGATTGATTATTTATAGATGTTCTGTCTGTTGACTTTCCGAGTGATATAGCATAAATTTGAGCACAGCAGGTACCTTTTCTAGCGAGCAAATGTCAAATATTCTGAAAGACTGTTGAATCCGCCATATTGGATTGGCAAGATCGAAGTAAGCTTGGAACGAGTGAAAAGAAAACGAGAGAGGTGGCTGTGAAAATGATAGATTTTATGGGGGAAGTAGTCGGGTAAGTCTGTTCCAGGCTGTACTTAATCTTATCAAACCAACATAGAACTGACTGACTTACCAATTTGTAGAATGACTGATTGACTGACTAACTGACTAACTGACTTGCTGACTGACTAACGGACTGGCTAACTACCAAAATGGCCGACTAAGTGGCTGACTGTGCTAAAGTACCCGCACTTACTCGTAGAATATCAAGGCGGCCAGAGTCCTCCAAGGCCCTGGTGACGTACATGACCAGTTGGTGCAGTGATCCTGTTTCGCCATTTGTCGCCGGTCGTGCATAAGTGAAAACATCGATCATGTAATAATCGTCTTTGACGCAAGACTCTTGATCACGCAGGAAAACGTTATCAGACATCGCAATTCTGTGCACAGATGTTGTCAAAATTACTGGTAATGTAACGAATATGCTTAAAATTGCCGAGCTCTTTAACTGAGTCCAACAGCAATAATATCGTGTAGCTTTAATCTGGTTCTTGGCATCCTCTTGCGTAAAAATTTGCTTTAGCAGGATTCCCATTATTGAATGACTATGGCAATTCTCGTCCATATAGTATTGTGTACGAATTTAAATTCCGAAATGAAAATTAACAGTACATAGGATAGTCGGAACTACATTCTCTGTGGTGATTCAAACGTGTGTTTTCGGAGAGGCCACATGTGTGTGTATAAATATTGCCTTAACAAATAGGGTAGTTACCTTTGTATATATTCCGAAATTCAAAAAGAAATTCCTCTGTAGTTTTCAATCCGGTACAAAAACTAATTTCATTACGAATAAATACTGATAATAGTCGTCTTGCCACTCCAGTAAAAGGGTTGCACTCTTCTCTGCCTGCTAGATAGCCTCTGATAGGGAGGGGAAGGGACAAATCTTTCTCCTGATGGACAAGAAATGCAGTGGACCCCAGCTAAAAATTTTGTCACGAAAAGCTTTTAGTGTGTTCACAACATTCGAAGTCACTTGACATTAGGGGTTTCCCCTAAAAAAAAAAATCCCACGTAAAGCATTTTCACTTTCTAGTTTATTAATGGAAACAAAGGATGTTGTCTAAGCGATCACACGAGACTCATTCTTGATATTTCTATCATAACAACCTATCAAATAGAATTAGATACTTGTAAATTAGTGCCTTAGGTGATTCTTACCCCTAGCCTTTCCGAAACCAAAATGACGTAGATGAGTTCGAATCCTTCCTGATGAATCTTTTTCGGCTGCAGTGAGTTACTCTTTGGCCCTTTGAACTGAATCTTTGATTCGCAACCGATAGCTAATTTGATCCAGTTACAATGTTTTCTTCGATGAGCCTCGATATTAGACGACTGCTCAAATCCTTGCTCCCCTATTCATGCTGAAAAAAAGCTGCCAAGCGACAAAAGCGAGCGAAATGTCTCAAGGCGGCGACCGTCTCTCTACTCTGTGCTCATTAGACAAAAGTCTCAGAGATGAATATATTTCTTTCTTTCCAGAGGTACGGGGGGAATGTCCCTATATGTACTTTCGATTTGAAAATACTCACTCCGACAATCAAGTTTCTCTTTTCTGTTATTATCATTTGTTGAGACCGAATGATTGAGAATGTTTTCCCTGTTTTGTTTTTGAATACAATTAACAACCTAGAGACTGCGGCTTTGGCGAAATAGCTCATCTCGGAAGGCATTTTTAAAAACTGCTTTATTAGCGTTTCTCGATTTATGCTCGATAGACTTGGCGTACCTAATACCGAAAGCCCTTGCCTAAGCATTTCTGAAATTTTGTTTATCAGATCTCGTGGTTTGGATGATTTCCAAAGTGGTAAAAATGTGCTTTATTGCACTTTTTTGTTTGAGAGGGAAAAACCCCGGACTTTTGTTCTTGTTTTCGATTTATTTATGTAATTTATTTTATGTAAGCCCTGTTTCAAATCATGTCCTTTACTTTGGTGCTTTTGCTAGACTCAATATTTGTAGTACAACATGGGAAAAGAGGGTAAGTTTGAGATAATAAAATCTTATAAGAAATTCAGTTTTATCTTTTGGCTATTTTTGAACATCCGCAGAGGGCGATTCCGTGACGGCTGGTGACATACTTATATTTTAATTCTTGGTCTCTGTTTTCATTTGTTATGTAGACATTTACCTTTCGTTTTTTACTAAATGCACCTTCAGAGCTCAAATGGACACCGAAGACTACTTCGCTAGGCAATCTTGGCAACATTGAATGCCCATTTGTTCTTGTTTTTATCGCTGGTTTCGCTAAAATATGCTATGTAATCGAATGTTTTATTAATTCAGGGAAAGTCCCTTTCCGTTTTCATTTTTCCTGTTTGGGTAATATATTGGGGACACGTACTGGTCAAATTCCTTCCAGTTGGCACAAATCAAGCAGCACAAAGAGGGAAAGAGATGTTTGTGGTGTTGAAATTATGTAAAGTCCAAGAAAAAGCAAAAATCCGGCCCAGCAACAAGAATGCCTCCAGGTAAGACGATGCACATATTATCAACCGAGGCATAAATCTAGAGACACTGACACAAAAATTAGACTGTACCTTGCAAATGGCATAAAATGCTACATATATCTACAGTCAACGATGTATCGCCCGAAATTGAAAATATATAGATATGGAGTTATCTCCAATATATCTGTTGCTCTAAACACATGAAATAATTTTAACCTTTATGCGGAATTTTTTTTTAGTTCAGCAGAACTTTGTAGCGAACACTTCCGATCCTTTGTTTTTGTTTATTTGTACTTCCTCTGACGCAGTCCAGGGTGTTTTTTCTGTTGTTGTTTTTTTTCTTAATCGTTATCATTATCACTGCCATCATTACCATCATCGTCACTGTCATCATCGTTATCATTATCATCAAGTAAACAATCTATCAATTCATTATCTATCTATCACATCATCTATCGATCTATCAATCTACTTACACATTCACCTCTTTACTTATTCATCTGGCCATTTTAAATTTAGTTAATTATTCATCTCCTTACCTTTTTCTTTAGCGTCGTTTTAGTTGTTTTTTGGACTGATATTATCTCTTTATCTTTAACAGCAGTGATGGTAAGTGGCCGTTACGTAATAGCTCAAAATGGGCGCATTCCTCCACAGCCCATTTTGATGGAACACTGCTGTTTTATGGTAGGGGGGAACGACTGGGATATTTCTGTTAAATGCCGGCCACATTTCAATCAAAGTAAGAAAAGTAAAAAGTGGCGAAATATTAAAGAAGTGTATCCTGATGCCAAGGTGGAGACAAAACATAACGACATCCGGCTGACGTTGCCAGTGCTAGGACAAAGTCTCGAAGTGGCAGCCTTTGGAGTTCCAGGAAAAGATGACCAGAAGCGAATGCAAATGGTGATCTTTGGGAAGGAGCCAGCCAAAGCCTGTGACTGGGATATCAGAGTTTATCTGATAGATGATTCCGAAATGGCGTTCAAGGTAACACATTTACTCCTGATCTGCGTTCTACCAATTTTTATTTTTTTATTTTTTTAATAGGATTAAAGGTTAAGTCAAAAAAAGGAAGAAAAAACAAGAGAAGCTAAAGAAGAAAAGAAAGATTATTGCCTCAATGATCCTTCTGAAATATTTCACCCTCTTCTTGAATCATTCTTCTGAATTTTTTCCAGCATTTTTCTCCTAATTTAGCTTGCTCTTTGCTCGAATAAGTTGTTTTAATTTTTTTGTACGTGTTTGTTTGAC